GTGGAGGATTGTATTGGCCGTGGAAGTTGAGGTAAGTGTTTGGTTTAACCCTAGCTTGAGGGAATAGGAGTCGAGTCTTGTTTGCTAATTGCTAAATGATCGAGTACGATGTATAGGCATGGTGACGAGTTCCTATACATTGGGGTCTAGCATGACCGTGAGTCCTTATATGTGGGTTGTTTGGATATTGTTATGCCTTCCATGTCATTGATGGCTTCTATACGTGGTAAACACCTTGTGAAAGATATTGTGATTGTAGAACTTCGTGGAGCATTGGCTCGGTCTGAAATACAAATGGTGAGAGCATATAAAATGAGAAATGCCTTAGAGCTTGACACGAGTGCTAATGAGAGCTAGGATATGAAAATGAAAGAAAAAGAGAAATAACGATTTACTCTTGCATGGTTGTTATTGGTTGTTTGTGTACCCTTGTTGGGATTTCCTTCCAAATACTTGTTTACTCCCCTGCCCTTTATTTGTGACTGTTGCTTGGGGAAGGTTGAGAGGTATACATTACGGATCGGGTTGCACGCCACAACAATGTTAATTGTGGATCGGGTTGCACGCCGCAACAGTGATAATTGTGGATCGGGTTGCACGCCGCAACAGTGATAATTGTGGATCGGGTTGCACGCCGCAACAGTGTTGAAATGTAGTTTAGGGCGGGTTGCGCGCCGCAACAGTTATTGATGCAAATGTGTTTAGTGTTGGTATTAGTTTCTTGTTCGCCTTAAATTTTAAATTTGCACCTAGATTGATTACTTTGGATTTACTGTTAATATTGTTAGCTCCCCACAGCATGTTTCCCCTCCTATACTGTTAGTTGCCTTGTACTTCGATTTCTGCTGTATATTTATAATTGCACAGGTTTATGTGAGGTCCAGTCTAGCCTCGTCACTACTTCGCCGGGGTTAGGCTAGGCACTTACCAGCACATGGGGTCGGTTGTGCTGATGCTACACTCTGTGCATTTTTGCACAGGTCCAGGTATTGAGCAGCAGCAGCAGCATTAGCACAGGGGCGAACCTTCAGTCCAGAGAGACACGAGGTAGCTTGCAGGCGTCCGCAGGCCCGACGTCTCCCTTCTATCTTTACATTTGGCTGTCATCTCATTGTACCCGAGATAAACAGATTATGTTTCTTTCAGACTTTGTATGTAGTACTCCTTAGATGTTTGTGAGTATGTGACTCCAGTCCCGGGGTAGAGATATATGTGTTGGAACTTCTGTATTATCGATCTTTTATCTACATTTAAGTCTTCCGCTTATGATTTAATTCGTCGCCTTTATTTAATGCGGTTAATTGTTAAAAGGGGTCAGGTGTTTAATTATAATGGTTAATTAAGTTGGCTTTCCTAGCTCCTATTAGTAGGCGCCATCACGACCCCCGAGGGTGGGGAATCCGGGTCGTGATACCCAATGATTTCATGTTCCAAATAAACAACCCTCTCGAAGCCCTTCCTATGACCTGTGGGTGCAGAAGGAGGAAGAATATGAAAATAGAACATTTATTTTGTACAAGACAATACCTCTTTATCATTTATTTGTTAGATAGAAGTGTTTCATCTTTTTTATTTTTCTCTTACATCTATGTAAAAATATTTTAATTTGTGATACAATATCTAACTATAGAAATATTAGAATATATTATTCAAACCAATACACCACAATATTCTAATTAAAGTTATAATATTCAAATCAAACATTTCATAATATTCCAATTTGGAATACATTATTCAAATCAAATAGACCACAATTTTCTAATAGAATACAATATTCAAATCAAACATACCAAAATATTTTAATTTTGGACATTATCCAAACCAAACATGCCAAATTACAATTGATTAATGAAGAATATAGTATTCAAACCACACACCATAATATTCTAATAAAGAATACAATATTAAAAACTAAACATATCACAATATTCTAATTTGGAATACTATATTCAAATCAAATATACCATAATATTCTAATTTGAAATATAGTATTCAAACCAAATATATCACAATATTCTAAATTGAAATATAATATTCAAATCAAACATACTTTTATTTATATTTATTGTGTATATATTATTTTACTTGGAATATTAACATTATTTAATAGTATACAATGATTAGTTTACTGTAAATATTATATTTTATAGAAGAAGATAAACTTCTATAATGACAAAGGTTCCCATAGTAAGAAAAATAATTTAATGGATAATCTTTTTTTATTCTTTAATCTTGGTCCAAGTTTGAAACGGATGGAGTAAGATTTTCAATGGATTTGCTTTGTATATATAGTTTTCGTTAATTAAGGGGACATATATATTAGATAATTATTGTCCATTAACTAAATAGGTATGTGGGGTAATTATTTGATGTGTATTACATGTAATTTTATAATTGAAGTATAATGTGTTAAGAGTTTTTGAAAGGGGGTATACGGTGTAACTACTAGGCAAAATTGTAGGAATATTTGCGGATATATAGCAGCATTAGGTCTTTTACACATAAGGCAAGAAAATATTTATATTCCTAGCCAAAACCCCTTAAACATGGTAACTTCAATCACGCTTCTACTTTATATTCTTAAACGGTTTCAGTTACATACTTCTACTTAATTAAGAAAATTAGTTATTACTGTCAGCCAATCTTCTTAGACTCAACTGACGCATTCCAATTATTCCATATGCCAATATAGCATTATATAAAGAGATGGGAACCATATAATTCGAAGCAAACAACAGAAAGATCATGTATACTTCTTCTGCCATGGATAACAGAATCACAATTTTGGTTCAACATAGCGGTCAATGGGATATGCAACACAGGTTTAAGAATTTTAGCGTCGATGGGGTGGTGATCAGTATGGAATGGGATTTTAAATTGATTCGTTCGGAGATATCAAAGATACTTGCAGTCGGCGCACAAATTGATACAATGGATATTGGATATTCCGTGAAAGAGAATTTTCCACCGATGAAAATATACGACGACAGGAGTTTAGGCTTGTACATGGAGTTGAAAAGCAAAAATTTATCTTTCACTGATTATCCATTGTGTATAATATTTAAAAAGTAGGATAACGATAGTACATGCGCGAATCCAGTTGTTAACAAGGCAAACTCCAATCTTTTTCAGAATTTGTCAATGGTTGACAATCTGGAAACGGTTGAATGGATTAATTCCGGAAACAAAGAGGACTATGATGTTATGCAGATCGATGAAGAGTGTATAATCGGAATCAGTACACATCAAGAGGTTAATGAAGGGCAGCTGTACAAAAACAAGGATATACTGCAAAACATTATGAAACATCTTGCAATCCGAGAGAAGTTCCAGTTAAAGGTTGATCGTTCAAATAAAACAAGGTACTTGTAAAGTTAACGAATGATTATATACAATTGTAGGATATTCTTTGTAAGTTGTAATTTAAAAATAATAGTGGTAATCTTTTCGACCTTTCACTGAATATATGTTTGATATGGCCGGCTGACGATACATGTATATAGATAATTGTATGAAGTGAACTTAATGTCTTGTAAATTTAGTATTTAGTAACGCTATATTACCGAATAATACAACTAAATGGTATAAATTTAGTATAATATTTGTGTAAAAAGATTAAACCGATGGTTTAGATTATATGCACAGATTATACATGAAATGGCATGTGTATGATTTATATGTGCTGTGAGTTAATACATTCGAGTTTTTTACCCAGTTAGTGAATTAATTTTTATATTTGAAACCAAAAAAGTAATTAATGTATTTATACTGCAGGTATTATCTTGTATGTGTGGATGATCAATGCTCATGGAATCTTAAAGCATCAAGCCTAAACACCTCGAATATATTTAAGGTGAGAAAGTTTGAAAAAGTTCACACATGTGGAAATAATTCGAGATTATTTTCACAGTGGCAGGCTACCTCTGATCTCGTTGGAAGTTTGATAATGAACAAGTTAGATGATCCAAAGTTGGAGTATACTCTAGCAGAAATACAACGTGACCTCAAGAGGGATTATGGAGTTGATTTGAACTATATGAAAGCATGGAGGTCGAGAAAAAAAGCTTTTGAAATGTTGAGAGGCAAACCAAGCGATTCGTATAATAAGCTGCCAAGGTTTTTGAATATGTTAATGCATTCAAATCCTGGGTCAGTGACAAGGTTGGAAAGGTCAGATGACGGGTGCTTCTTATATGTATATGTAGCACTCTTCTCATCAATTAAAGGATGGGAGTATTGCATGCCTAATGTTGTTGTCGATGGTAGCTTTCTAAAATCAACATACAGAGGGACCTTACTAACGGCCTGCACACAAGATGCAGCAGGTGAGTTGATGTAAACATTCATAGGTAGAAATGATTTCAAGTATAATTACACGTATGTATAACTGTGTATAAATTATACCCTAAATACCCTGAATATTTTGATGGTATCACAGCTTCAACATGTAGTTTAGTATAAATCATGTATAATTTATCATATCCTCGTTTTTATCGAACAAATATTCTTTATCGTATTTGATATGTTGTATAATTTACGTTTTAAATAAAGTTAATTTTGTGATGTTCAATAAGGTAAAATATTTCCGCTCCCGTATGCTGTGGTTAATTCGGAGAATGATGCATCATGGGAGTGGTTCTTCCGGAATTTGCGAGAAACATATGGTATAAGGGAAGGAATGTGCATCGTATCTGACAGGCATGAAAGCATTTGAAGGCAACATCAGTTGTGTATCCTGAAGTGCCTCATTGTGTATGCATATTCCATCTATGGAACAACATAAAGTTGAGGTTCAAGAAGAGCCAAAAGAAAATAAGGCCCTTATTTTTTGCTATGGCTAAAGCATACACAATTGAGGAATTCAACCAATACATGTCAGAAATATGTAATCTTGATGGGAGAGTTATAGAATACTTATTTGACATTGGATATGATAGGTGGTCGGTAGCGCATTCAACGGTTAACAAGTCCATGGTGATGACATCAAATATTGCGGAACCATGAATTCAGCGAATAAGGCGGCGAGGGATCTACCTATCTACGATCTGCTTGACTACTTGATGAAGCTGGTTGCGGCTTGGAATAACACAAACAGAAACGGAGCACTGGCAACTGGTACAACACTTAGCACAAAGTATGAAATATTGCTAAGGGAAAAAATCATTGCGTCGAGAAGCATGACGGTAAGTTAAATTGACATATAAGGTATAAAGTTAGAATATATACTGATATTAGAGTGTAATGTAAAAAATGTTATTATATATTTGATTGAATGTAATATACTATGTATACCACATATAATGAAATCATTGGTATACAACTTATACAGTGAAATATGGATTATCTTAAGCATCGAACAAAGCAACAGTGCTTATTTAGTTTTCTGGATATGAATTAGAAAGTCTTATCCTATCTGTTGCCCTCTTATGAAAGAATATTTTTGAGATATTTTGAAATTTTCTGCTTTGTTCATATGTCCACCATTCACTGGTATACATGCTTATAGTGTGAAACTCCTTCGAGATGTATTTTGGAGTCATTGAAATACTTGTATGGGGCTATCAGCTATCTTTGAATTTCAGATGCTAGAAAGTATATGCTGATCTTGGTTTTTGAGGAATCAATTACTACTGCTCTCTGTTTTTTATGATTGATGCGCCATTCTTATAATGCCTTTGTTGAATGTGTGCTAAAAACTGGTTTGGTATTATTTGGTATAATGTAGATTACTCCATCAAATGAACACTTGTATACAGTCGTACATGATAGGAGGCGATTTGTGGTGTGCATGCGGGAAAGAAAATGTAGTTGCAAAAGGTTCCAACTGGATGTGATACCATGCGAGCATGCGTTGGCGATTATGACAAAATACCACATGGATGAATACAAATATTGTTCGGTATACTGTAGCAAGGATTACATGCTGAAGACCTATGAATTTCCGGTTTAACCAATTCCTGACGAAAGTCAATGAGAAATTCTTGTAGATGTCTTAGGGGATGCGGTTAAGCCACCAAATGTAAGAGTTAAACCTGGCAGGCCAAAGAAGTCGAGAATCAAAGGTGCTGGTGAGTTCCAGGAAAAAAGGTGTAACATTACATGTGGTTTGTGTGGACAACAAGGTCACAACAGAAAAACCTGCAGGAATCCTCCAAAAAAATGTGTTTAGCTCTTATGCTAGTCTGCTAGTGATATCTCTAAGGAGAAGCTTTGTTCAAGCTTAAACAAAGTTTAATAAAAAAAAATGCATTAAGTATTATGACAGATCGATTGGGCTAATATAAATGTTGCTATTTCCATATTAACTTCTTATGTCTTCTATCAGTTGATTGAATATTGCCCTTGTGCAAAAATAAAAATAGATGGCAATGACTAAATTTGACGGCACAAACACATAGTTCAATTTTATCCATATCAATATTTTATAGTTCTAGATATTGACTTCTCTGTATCAATAATTCTCGTTCATAGATAGTTATAGATATTGACTTCTATGTATCAATAATTCTCGTTTATATGTTGATATATTTCCGACTGTAGTATCAATATTGAATGGCATGAGCTGCCATGGGATTACAGTGAAATATGAGTGTGAGATAATTTTGCCCTGAATTGCTTTTGAGTGACTGATCTTCCATTGGAGGCACTAGTATATGGGGAGTAAGATACATTTGCTAACAAGTAAAAGGGAAAAAAATTTCCAAATGCAGAATGTACAGTGATTGGGAATCCGAGGTTGTTAATGTTTAATATGGTAATGTGAATCGTAGGTTTGTGGAACAATACAAGCTAGAAGGTGTACACATGGAAAAGATGTAACAGAGTGTTCCATCAATACTACATATATATAGAATCGTTTTTGGTATATTTATATGCAACGGAGGTAACAGAGTGAAGAGACAGCTTATATGTTGGCAAAGATTTTTTTAACTAACTTCTGTTAAAGTGCTGCTGTCGTAGATTAACGATTCTACACGGTATAATTTCACTGATTTACTTCAAAAAAGCTCATACTAATGTATGTTTGAAAATTCGTATTTCATATATAGGCTTGTTTTTGGTTTAGTATGAAGATTTGCAAAATCTGCAATCAGGTGAAATTTGGTTTAGTTACAACATGTTATTGAGGGTATAATTTATCCGTAGATCTGTGAAATATTTGAAAAATTTACACCTTTAAAAAAACACTCCTTATTAAGTGTACAATATATACATGTTATACATCATACATAATTATACGTGGAAGAAATCTATATTACCATACCTTTTGCTTTGTTGGTAGACAGAGTTATCACAATTTATCCAATACCATGTATTAACATATACTCTAGATACTAATAAGTGATTAGTCTAATGGTTGGGAAGTGCTATAGCACTAGCACAATATAAATCTTTGTTTCATCAAGGATACAAAGCTGCTAAACACAAGTAAAAAGACATCATGAAAGTATCATATTCTTCTGCAATTAGTAATCTGTTATATGGATAAAACATAAATTCCATTCATATCTTGACAGCATAATTGCACTATTACATTATTCAACTTCTCAAAACGTAATACTTAAAGATAGTTATAACCAAAGTACAACTCCACTTGTTGAGTAAAAGAAAACATTATATGAAATGCATCTGAAAGAAACTAAAGCAGTACTACATAAGGTAGTAAAGCTACTAATTATTCATATCCACACGACCCTTTTATTTAATTTTCATCGGGACTTCTGCTTCGCTGACGACTAGCTGTTCTTGCTTCATTCTTCCGTAACTCCACAATAACGATGCAAACCTTATGCGTTGAGCAGTTATATCACACACATTTTTTATCGCGCTTTGACCACATATGAAGACTCCGCAAACATCGCCACAAGCACCCCTGATTCGCTGCATTTTAAGCATACCAAATATTTTCTTTAAAAAAATTTATTGCACACTAAAAAATTATGTTGTACTCTAAAAGTATAATATACAAATATATTAATCATATGACTTAAGCGTCTTGCTGCACCGGCAAACCATCAATCATAACAACATCAAATGGTTCTTCCTTTGTCTTATCCTTGTATGATCCCTTATTCAATTCGATGTCATTCCTTTTGCCATAAAAACCAAGAGCGCACAAAAAGTATGGGATAATAACAGCATATGCGTCTACTTCTTTGCGAATTCTGGATTTGTGAGATGCATCTTCCTTTGAGTCATAAAGAAATATGCATCTTTCTTTGAAATACATTATTGTCAGTACCCAGTAATCATTGTATACAACATTTACGGGGAATAAGATGTGGTCGACGATGTGCCACGGGCTGTTACAAAGCACTTCATCACCAAGAATGTAACGGGCAATATCGTGCTCAGGTTTCAAAATAAGGCTGTTTTTATTATATGCAATGAACTTCTTATACAGAGCCTTAATCTTCAAATCAAATAGATAATCTGTACTCGTGAACTTGATGTCAACATTAGGATCATATTTGCCCTTTTTCCTCAAATAGTAAAACAAGACGTCCACATGCTGTCAATAATACAAAAAGAACGATTATAACAACATGTACAATCACAACATATACTTTATTTATGCGCAAAAAAACAAAACTGTTGTACTGGATATATTCATTCTATCCAGTTAATACTCTTAAATTGCGAATAATTATACCTAAATATCCGATGTATTTTACTTTAACTTACCGAATCACTTATAGATTGACCTTTGTAGGCAAGCTTGTGGAACCACTCTGTAACGACCCGACCGGTCGTTTTGAGTCCTAGCGCTCCGTTCAGCAGTCGGAGGCCATGAACAGCTTCATTTCAGGTATTATGACTTGTACGCGCGGTCGGAATTAAGTTCCGGGAAGTTCAGAGTTGATTTAGAAAGAGAATTCTCATTTGAGAAGCTTAAAGTTGAAAGAATGAACTAGGAATGGATTTTTGAATAAACGACCTCGGAATCAGGATCTGAAGGTTCCAGCAGGTTCGTATGATGATTTCAGACTTGGGCGTATGCCCGGTTTAGGTTTTGGATAATCCGGGAGTGTTTTGGCGCCTATTGTGGAAGTTAGCATTTTAGAAGGAATTTCATAAGTTTGGCTTGAAGTGCATTTCAGTGTTATCGATGTCCGTTTGGGATTCCGAGACTGTGAATAGCTCCGTATGGTGATTCTGGAGTTGGGGGCGCGATCGAAAGTGAATTTGGAGGTCCATAAGTCATTTTGAAGCCATTTGGCTAAAGATTGAAATTTGAAGGTTTTTGGGAAGTTTGACCGGAGGTTGACTTTTTGATATCGGGGTCGGAATCCAATTCCGAAAGTTGGAGTAGGTCCGTAATGTCAAATATGATTAGTGTGCAAAATTTGAGGTCAATCGGACGTGATCTAATAGGTTTAAACATCGGAAATAAAAGTTGGAAAGTTCAAAGTTCATAAAGCTTGAATCGGGGTGTAATTCATGATTTTAGCGTTGTTTGATATGATTTGAGGCCTCGAGCAAGTCCGTAATGTATTTTGGGACTGGTTGGTATGATTGGTTGGGGTCCTGGGGGCCTCGGGTGAATTCCGGGTGGTCAACGGATCGAAAATGGATTTTTGGGAAGGCTGAGTCTGCTGGTTGCTGGTATTTCCGCTTCTGCGGAAATGGGACCGCAGAAGCGGCCCGCAGAAGTGGTAGAGGACGCCGCAGAAGCGGACCTTGTGAGAAGGATCGTGGACCGCAGATGCGGTCTAGGTTCCGCAGAAGCGGGACCGCATCTGCGGAAGTGGTTATCGCAGAGGCGGAAAAGGGGGCAACCTGGGCGAACCGCAGAAGCGGAATTTTTGTCCGCAGAAGCGAAAATCGCTGAAGCAGTAAGGTTAATTTAAATCGTGGTTTTGGTTCATTTCTTTTATTTCTCATGGCTTGGGGCGATTTGGGGAGCTCCAAAGAGTGGAACTTCGTCATCTATGTTGAGATAAGTTATCCCCATCACTTTTGAGTTAAATATATCAATTATGTTTGGAATTAAGCATGAAGATTAGTGTAAATTTGGGGGTTTTGGTGGAAAAACCTAGAAAATTATAATCTTGGATTTTAGCCACGAATTTGAGTATGGAACTAGGAGAAAATTATATATTTGAGTTCCTAAGGTCATGGGTAACCTTTATCTTCGAAAATTTCGGATTCCGGGCACGTGGGCCCGAGAGCATTTTGGTCATTTCACTAGGCGGAGCTGGGAATTGTATAATTTGAAATTGTTATTGAGTATTTGAGTGTATTCTCATTAGCTTGTCGTTAATTGGCTAGTTTTGGTGCATTGTGCGTTGGTTCAAGGCTTCGGAGGAACGTAGAATGCCGGTTATGGATCTTCGGAGCGAGGTGAGTCTCCTTTCTAATCTTGTGAGGGGGAATTTACCCCATAGGTGAAGTAATTGATTATGTGCTCCTATTTGTGGGGGCTACGTACGCACGAGGTGACGAGAGTCCGTGCGTAGCTACTATTATGCTATTGTCCGGGTAGTCTAGGACTCGAAAGCATGTTATATTTGGATTACTGTGAACTCATTGATAGTTTGAATTGTTTAGATCACCTTGAACTGGTAAAGGAATTTTAAAAGAGATTTAATAGTAATTTTCCCTGAAATGTTAAAAAGAGAAAAGTTGTTTATTTGGAGGATTATCCTCGATGAGCTCTTAATTTCCTACTTGAGCATGTACTTTACGTGTGCCTGCATCGCATGGATGATTCGCGAGCAGGATATGTGTTTATTTATGGAAACGGCCGAACGCCTCGGTAAACGACAACATAGATTCAGTAAAACTATGGAATTTGCGTGCTGCTACGCGGTAGACACTACCCAGGCAGGAATGATACGAGAGGGCCTGCTCGAGTCGGGCTGCAACAGTTTCATGCATTTCCTGTTGGAGCGGGTCGCGCTCACGCCAAGGTCGGTGATGGAATTTTGCGTGACATAGATTTTCTTG